AAATCAGCTGCTCAAACAGAAAGCACTAGCAATAACTTGGTCAAGTCTGCTGGAGCAATTAAATCAAGTCTGCTGGAGCGTGGTAATTACTGCACTCCAGCAACCTCCAGCGTCCTGTGTATCAGCGTCCCTATGCTTACAAATGGTGGCAGAGATGCTTTATCTAAAGCTCGTTCAATGTGCACATTAATTATAGTGGCTCTGGTGCTGCTCTAATAAAAGTGCCCTCACTCCCCCCACTCCTGGAGCATGTGTATAAATGCCCAGAGATGGTATTAACTAATCCTGATAAAGTGGAAGTATAACTGAGATTCATGTTGTGACTGGTGCACATATTCACTGTTTCCTACTCACACATATGAGAGGAACATGCTAGTTGAACTCACAGTGGTATGTGCTGCTTTGGGTTAAACCTTACCTTAGTGGGATTATTAGAGAGGGGAAAAAAAGGAGGAGGAAAGGAAGAAGCCTATGCACCTTCTATTTCAACATAAAAGGAAGCTGAGGAAAGATTCTCTTTCCCCAAACTCCCAGAATGGTGGAGAAAGAGATACTGCTCCTTACAACCTCTACTATACTTCCAAACTATTCTATTATATTTGTGTTTTATAAAAAGAAACAAAAACTATTTTAAAAATTGACCCCTTGGTCCTTCATAAAGAGGCATCAGAAAATCATCATTCTGTTTTAATGTTAAAGGTCCTCTTTCATAATTCACAGATCAACTCATCTTCCTCTCAGAGCTTTACTCAATGCTTATTGAAGCCAGTGTATCTTTATCCCATACACATGGAAAGAAAGAAAAAATGCAAGTGATCTGATTTAATTAGGCCACAAAATGTTATTCTGGAAACTGGCAGCAATAACTATTATACTGTTGGTCACAGTTAAACTGACCTTAAATATTTCCACCTGGAGGAAGACTGATGTCAGTTCACTGATGTCACCACCACTCCAAAGTTGATATCCAACCACCTATCACATATTAAAGGGTCGGGTGAAGGGGTTTGTCACTTTGTTGCATCCAACATTAGGAGCCCAAGCTATATTCCTAGTACCTGCCATCTGCTAAACTGAGGCAATTAGAATCTAAGGACTTTACTAAAAGCAGATAAAAACTCCAGTCCTTTTCTAATGCCAGAAGCACGGAGGAGTTAAAAAAAGTAGTTCAGTATGGAAAATCAGGATTTCTCTTGTCTTCACACTTGTAAAACACGTCAGTGGTTTACCTGAGCCTTACCAAGTCAGGTACTTTTCAACCACACTCAGATGCCTTGCTAGTCTTGACAAAGCCCCCATGGCATTAAAAGCTGTACTTCATTGACCTCAAGAGGAGTGATCAGTGCACAGATCAGCTTTGGAATCAGACCTGATTTTGTTTTCTGTTCTGAATTGTTTTTTTCATCTTTGATAAGATAACATACATTAGAAGCTTTAACAGATCCATAATGAAACCAGAGTGCATTTAAAAGGATCAGAACCAGAGACCATATATCCTTGAATGAGCTTTTTGCCAAGTTTAAAATTCATGTGGCATGTACATTTGGACTTTTCACAATCTACGAAAAATATTTTATTGTAAATAATTCAGAACTGGAATCCATTTTTATAGTGCTCTAATGAAGATAAATGTTACTCGTCACATTTTAAAGACAAGAGTAATGAGTTAGTATTATCAACCCTAAGAAAATGCCTGTCCACAGTCTCTTTTACAGACATTTCTCAAATTTAAACAAGATTTCCTTTATAGTCTGAAGTTGCTATTTTCAGTTCCTATATTTGGAGAGCCCGATAATAACAAGTTACAAATATTTAGAATGCTTAGCAACAAAGTGCTTTAATAGTAAGGCAAGCTCTCAGTATGAAAAACACATTTAATGTAGTTAACTATACAGTAAAAAAAAACCCTTCCAAATGCAATTTTAAAATATCAATGTAATATGGCTATAATTTAATAAAATAACATATTCTATTTCTGTTTAAATATAAATATGAGGTTTAAGCATGGTTATTACTTGGAGAAGTAATGCCATAGGAAAAAGAAGCCTCCAAAGTTTCCAACCTAATACCTTCCTCCATTGTTATTGTAGGTGATAATTGTGGTTTTTCTTAATTAAAACCTCCATCTGCAAGCTAATATTTTTCTTGTTTACTATAATAAATGCCTTATATTTTACTTTATATTAGGTTATGCTTAGATTACAGTAAAACATAAAACAAACTAATAAAAATCATTTGTCTCATGATGTGTTATATATACATAGAATTAAAATTTCCTTTCTTTGTAGTTTTGACTTGCAGACTTATGAGATGTAAATTTCATACCTCTTCCTATTCCTGATATAGTGTTCTTTTTAAAGAAGTTGTATATACTGACCTATAAAGAGGTAATATGTATAAAACCAAGTATATTTTGTTATATAATAACAATGTGAAGGTTTAATGTAATAATCATTCATACAGAAATATAATCAATACCCTATTTAATTTAGTTCATCCAGGTATGGACCTTACACTTAGACCTGATCTCAGTGATAAGAAATCAATCTAAACCCAAAACAGAACACAAGTTCTGCACACACAGACCAGTCTAAAAATGGCAGAATGTGGTCTAAGATAGACCTGGATTGATGTACACCCAAACTTAAACAATCTAGACTAAACCATAAAATGCAACTTCTATACAGTTACTTGCACATCTGCATGCCTGGGAAGCCCAGCTCCTTGCCCCGACCCTTTGAGCTGAGCTTTTCCTGTCCACCCCCCTGGCATGGGGCTATTTTTACGCCTCCAAACCGCAGCCCTCCAGCCACTCCAGGTGTCATTTTTGTCAATGTTTGCTGCTGCCAGGAGCCAAGGAAGTAAGTATCAGTGGGCAGATGGGGCAGGAGGGATGGGGGTGTAGGTTTTCTGAGGAGATTGAGGGGCTAAAAATAGAGGGTGGTCCTTCCCAAACCCTTGGTCTTCCCCAAGCTCCCCCCATGGATCCCACAACCCCCTTCCCCCCTTGATCCTCCCAGAACCTCCTGAACCTCAGCAATTTCCCATGGAGCCCAGCAACCTCCACCATCATCCCTGATTGCTCCTGCGGATCTCACCTGTCCCCCTGATCCTCCCAAACCCTCCTGCAGATCTTGCATGCCCCCCCCCAATCCCTCCCACAGATCCCACCTGCCCCTCCATCCCTCTGATTGCTCTTGCAAATGCTACCGACCACAATCCCCACAATCCCTCCTGCAGATCCCTCCTGCCTCCCCATCTCCCTGATTCATCCTGCAGTTGCTGCCTGCACCAGCAACACCCCTGTGGAGCCCTGAGCCTGCTTGTCCCTGCCACACCATTCCTCCAACCCGCCCCCCCCCCAACTAGTCTCTTCCATCCTGACTTATCTTATTGGGTGGCCATTTTTAATGCAATCTAACCTCCCCCTAACTGCCGCCCCAATCATGAGACCAGCTTTGTGTAGCTTAGAGGGCACTATGAAATTCTCTGACAGTAACCTAAAATAGCTTTTCTGTATGTGAGACTGTTGTGATTTTCAATTATGTTATTCTGGGACTAGAAACGAATCTTAGGCTCCTTTGAGAAGTTGGGATTTTTCCCATTTTAATGAAATAGTGGATCCATTAAAAATTAGGGAGAAGTTCCACATACAAGTAAAACTGGATTTTTAGCAGTTTTTTAGTGGCAGCTGTTCAAAGCTGTTTGGAATGTTACGCTACAACCTGGAAAAGTAGATTAGTAGACTGGCAAAAATGGGCTGCATAAATTACCGAATTGCATAGAATTGATGCATCATCTGGATAACCCTTTCCTTTGTGTCAAAAAGATATGTGTGTATGTGATTTCTGTGATGCAACCCTAAGCAAAACTGTGATTTTTGACTCTGTCTCCTTTAGGGAGAAAAAAAGACCTCCCAGGGGAAACTCTGGTATAATTCTTGCTAATATAACTAGCAAGGTAGTTATAAGTATAAGTAGCCATAAGAATGTTGACTATGCTAGGGCTCCCAATTGTAGGAAGATTTTGTAATTTTTTTTATTTATTTATTAGATTTATATGCTTTCCTTCCCAACAAAGCTCAGGGTGGTTTACAGAAGACAGCAAAATACCTTACAAAACAAGCTAACATGAGAACAAAAAAAAGAGGAGAAACATAACTTATAAAGGCAACAGCACAAGGACATTGTCTTACCCTGGACTCCCCCTGGGGCTGTGACATTTATATATCAATTAACTGAAGCAACTGTCCTCAGGAGCCCCTAGTCCTTCCCATCCTTCCTCAGCAGGA